TGCTAGCCAAAGCTAACTCTCTCAAACATCATGATGGCACGAGAAAGGAAAACGAGTCTTAAAACGTTCCAAAAACCACTAAAGATCAAATAGTGTCCAACAATGATGCTGTACTCATGTAAAGCTGAAGAAATCTGCAACATGTAGAAAAATATTTCCCTTAAGGAACTGTTTGAAATCAAAATGTTGAGTTATTCATCAATAATTGAGCTCTGATGGAAAGGTGAAAATTTAGAGATAGTTGGAAGCAAAAAAGCAAATCACAGATGCGTTTGCACAATTGATAGATTAACTCACATTGGTGGTGGCGTTATTGAGGTTTACGGGTCGAGGAACACCAACTGAATGAACACACCCGATGAAATTCCCGTTTTCCATACTATCCCACACCGACGAGGACACCCTTCAATGATGTTTTCATCATATATTTGTAATGCACTTACAAGGTTTTATCGTGTAACTGAGCATTCCGTTAAGTCTTAACAATTTTATTTCGTTACATCAAACAAAAATCTCATCGAACGAACACACCGTGCGCAAATACTTGTCATTATGGCCACATATTCACTATCGGTTATTTGGATGCAGTTGAGCGAGTTCTTTGAACCAATTGGACCCAACGAAAACGGTATTACGTACATTACACGACCTGAGGTTGTATGTTCAGAAGCTCGATTTATTTCGAATGAACACGCAATGTTTGACCCGTGAAAATTTTGCATTTATACCAAACAATGAATTTGCAGTCAGTCAAAAGACTCAATTTTAAGTGGAGTAAATGAATTGGCTAAATAAAAAAATGAACAAATACGATCACTCAAGTGATCATCACACCGATTAAACGACCAACCAAACATAGCTGCGCTAAAACGATCAACGAGCTCGAGATTAAAAGTGACCGGCGACATCCATTTCGCAAATCTCGGTATCACATCATGAGTTCTGCAAGCTGCAGTCATCAGAATCATTTTACATCGTCATCAACATTCGACTATTTCTCGTTTAAGAAGATTCTCCATGAAAAGTGTTGCTTCTATCTAGTATGACTACTTCAAGACACGGCTTGTCTGTTTTGTCTTCCAATTATTTTCATAGATCTGACTGTACAAGTTAATTTTATATTTACTCACGACCGTATTGTCCACATTCTCAGGGCTCGAAATTCCAACGTGAAAAACAGTTTGCTAGTGGATATGAGGTGATTTTGAACGACGTAGATCACTTTGGGTGAGCTGAATTAGCAGGGTAAGTACTCAACCTTGCTTCGAGACGTTCTCGCTTTGGAGTAATGATATTCTGCTGGTAATTCTGCGCTATGGCATCTCGTGGATCTGTCNTCACTAAATAGCACTCTCTGAGGGCTTCTAGTTGTTTCATGAATCCTTTCCGTTGCATATTCTCGATGAAATTCGTCCTCTCCTCTTGCGATCCATCACAGATGCAAATCGCACGTGGCCGCATCAGTTTTGCTTTTCTAGCTACGAACAACTGCAATCATTTTCTTTTTCTAGTGCCATCCTAACGAATCAAATCGAATCAATTCGGATGGGCTGAAATTACAAAGTGCTCAAGACCAATTACGAAAGGTATGCAACTACAGAGCATGGTTTATCGCGTTGAAATTTAGCTAGAACCGTGGTAGTGCACTGAGCACACTCTTGTTTCCTTCTTATTCAACATGCTATAGCGTTATCTCATTGATCGCAAAACATGATCAAAACTCAACATACTTGAGCTTCACTAGGCAATATCCTTGGATCGCCTGCAATCACCGGAACTGCACCATAACCATTGATATAGAATTCAGTGACAAGACGAAAATCACTCGCTTTCAGACATCGTTGTGAAATATTTCGCTAGAATAGTTACTGCCTAAGGATCTCATTTACACCATCACTGATGTAGTGTGGAAGGGAATTTTAGCAAGGAATTGCATTTTGCATTCTGCACTATTTGAGACAGTACATCTTTACAAAACGAGTTGTCATTTACCAAAACAAGTGCCGATTATGCGACAGCAAATACCTACCCGTCGTATTCTTCGTTTTTTCGTGATCTTCTTCCTCGCCATTCTATAGACATACAAGCCATCTTTGGTGTCGGGAAGTGTTGAGGCTGAAGGAAGCATGAAAATCAGAACTCTTCTACTGCGATATAACTGTGCTGCAGATGAACGGGTTCAAATCTGATATCAGGACCAAAGAAAACTGAACTACAGTAATCGCAGATGTTTTTGATTAGAAGAAATTTCTTCACTCTAAGCACATGTTCAGCCTCTCTTAATCACGATATTGCGATGATGGTCGATCTCCTCTCTCAAAATTGAATTTAGCACTCCTTTTAGTTTAAGCAAATGATGAAGAAATAAAATCCGAGCTCATTGAAACCAACTCGATGACTTGCTAGAATTACTAACACTGCGGCAGGTCGAAATCATCTGACCGCTTCAGAAACCCAATCAAAAGGAAAATATCTCCATAAAGCTTGAAAAATAACGCCAGACATTCCATCAAGTTTGCATATTCCTCTCCACAGGATTTTTTGATTTTTAATCATGTAAATTTTCGTCAAATGCAAATCTGATTCAAATGTATTCAGAAAATGTTGATGACGTTTCATGGCAATTCATCATTATCAATGGATTTCCGTTAATGCTTTCGTTATTTGAAATTGATAGAGTTTTCATCAGAACAGCTGATCTGTAGACCGCGAATAGAAATTTTGATCGTACTGTCATCAAAACTACACATGTTCAATTTGTATTCAGGATCAAAATTGTGAGAATGCATTGTGGTCCGCGCTGATAAGGTGCGATTACTCGTGAGAATGCAGATTAAAATTGTATTCCTTGCATGAAAAATGATCAACAAACA